AGAAGGTTGACTGCTACCAGAGTAGTGGAGTGTAACACTTCACGTGTTGGTTACCAGCTAGAAGTGATCAGGCCAAAACCAGATGGATTGCACTTACTCTATTTTATTTAATAATTTAAACGTAACTGTGTTAGACTGAAGGAGCATTCCAGGGTACTCATCATTTCCTGAATTGCTTCCTGGTGACTTGTTTAGTAGCTTGTTCCTTGCTCCTTCCCCTACTTAGGAAGTTGTTGAGCAGACCTGGGTTATGAGAAGCATACTTGCTCCACAGACATATTGGGATTTTGTATGACGGGGAATTTGGGGGTTGGCTAGTTGTTTTTTCACTCATGCCTAATATGTTGATCTGTTTACTTTCAAATTAGTGTTAGGTTCAATGCCAAACACACAGAATATCCAAGTACATCTCAACTTACTGACCTCTGGTACACTTGAAGTGTAAGCTGGCATCATAGAAATTGTATTTGTAATGGGGAATCGCTTGCCTGGATGATCTCCTTTTTGGTGAGTTCATTGTGCCCTTGACAAACACAGCTCAACACTTAAATCCCTGAAGTTCAGTCAAGGGCCACAAGAGTAGATCTCTGTATCATGTCCCAGATACATAGGTCAAAACACAGGTATCCAGATCAGAGCCTATGTTCATTCAGGTGGCACAAGTGTGCTGCATGTCAGGAAAATACATCCCTCATAGATTGTTGATACTCAGCAAGGCAAAAGAAGGAGCAAGTGCTCTTTTCTGTAGGAGGTTAAAGGTCCAAGGTCTTAGCAAGAGCATTCAGGAAAAGAGATTTACGTAAGTGGTAACGTTTTTCAGTTAGTACTTTGGTGCCAACTGCAAGGACTCATGTGATGCTACAGATGTTCCAGTGTGATCGTTTAGTCATGTCACATTAATGATTGCTGTTACTTAAACAAGAGTAAGTTCAGTGATGTAGCACATAAAATTTTATATGGCTGAGCAAACTGCTGACATGAATTTTGCCTATGTGGATGTCAGAGAAGTTCTGTGAGCTTTCAGAGATGCAAAAGAGTGAAATGTCCTCTTCATTTGTGTGAGTAGAGTCAGTGTAAGAGTATCAAATGAATGATCGGAAAGACTGAGGCACAGACTTTACTTCCCTGGCAGAGGTAGGAAGACACTGGCTGAATTTGTTTCTTAGTCCAGCTTCAGGGAGGACTGGCCAGAATGTAAATCTGTCTGCATTGCTTAAAGTACCAAGATAGCATTGCAAAGAATAAGATTTTCCCTGCTTTACAAGAAATCTCTATTGAATGTTTTCTTTCTTTGCAAGCTTCAGTCCGCAAAACTCAAAATACTTGCTTCAGCTCACTGAGAGGCAAGCTGGGCACTTTTTGTTCTAGTTCTATTAATGTATTTACCTTCAGCCCAATCATTTTGCAGGCTATTTAAATGAAGGCTAGCTCTTTGAATTCATCAATATTTTAAGAATAAGCCAGACAATGACATATTTGAATGTTGAGGCCAGGATCTTCTTAGCCTTTAGCACTGCAAATCAGATTGACTTGTGAGATTGCACTCAAAGATGACAGGAGAAACCTGTGTGTTATATGATGTTGCAAGTATGGCCACAGCCATCATGTGACCAGGCTATTTTTAAATCTGTAGTGCCAATTTGTTAATAACAGTGCCGAGACGGGATGTGGTGCCTTCAGATGAACTAACCGCAGAAACAGTGCTTCCAGAAAAATGCTTGCCTTTCATCCAACTACTCTTACACATACAAAGTATGACTAAAAAAAGGTTGAAAGATCAGGCTGGGATCTAAATAATTTTTTCTTGTGCTCTCTATTGGTGCTAATGACTACAGAATGAGCAGCCACTGAATTTTAGTGATGATAAAATTTCAGGATTTCAAGACAATCTCATTGTTATCATCTTCTAGGAAGCTGGCAGTTTTTCTTGCCTTAACTAATATTTTTTGGCTGTCTTGATGGATGTAGTATGAACTGGCAACACTATTGATGAAAGCCCTTCCTGAACTTCTCTACAGACCTGTGGTGAATTATCAGTTCTTTAGTCTTTTGGAGTGAATGTGATGCACACAAGACAAAGACTTTGGACCAGAGATAGTTGCCATGGCTGGCTGTTGCCTTCTCCTTTAGGGGAGACAAGATGAGAGATACCTGTAGAAGTTCTGCACCTCCAGGGTGCTCAGGGGTGAGCATTTCTTGAGGAGCTTTCATAGGTGTGTGTCCTGAGGGCAGGATGTGGAAAAGCACCATGTGCAGGCCTGGTCACTGACAGTGCACGCAGCACAGGAAATTATTTCCCTGTCCATTACCCAGCCAGTGCTCCCAAAATGGCACAGCTTGCATTGTTATGCTAAAGAGAAAGGAAAGTTCACATTTCAAGATAAAACTGTCCTTTTAGTTAAACAATGATTCTGCTTATGTAACAGCTCTTTTAATGGTGAAGTACAGCTGGAGCCTGGAACGTTGTTTACAGAAATTCCATGCAATGGGTACCAATGTAAAATGCAGTAAATGGTGCTGAAGGCATGAGACGTGGGGAGAGGATGCAGGTGCTGCCTTCCTGGGAGCAGGAGGTTTGAACCAAGCTTTAGTAAACCAGGAGAATGGGCTCTGTAAAGGTCATCAAAGGACTGGTGTCCAACAAGTCTAACAGGAGGGGAAAATGGTTCTTCTCAAAGCAAGAATGGGAGAGGGCCCAAGAGAGAGGAGCTGGCACAGCACAGGTGGTGCCCATAGGAAAGATTTCAAGAACTTGAAAGGGTAGAGAAGGCTGTGATTGTAAAGATTTGATGTGATAAGGAGAAACAGGAGTCAGAGAAGACAGAAATGGCAAAGCTCTGATACTTTTTGGCCTTGGTTTATTGTAATTGTATCTTCATGCATAGGAGAAAGGCTGCTGAGTAATCTTGTTCTTCTCTTTCTTGAAATGGTAACCACTGACTAATATACATGCATACAAAAATACACATATTCTCACACCCACACAAACATGCAATTGCACAAAATTAGGAAATTTCCCCAACTTTCTTCTGAGATGTTCAAGATTTGACAAAGCAAATTCTGACTCAGCCTTAGCTGAAACTGGGAGCATGGCTGTCAACCAATGGCATCTTAACTCCAGCATATTCATTTTCCTTCTTTCCTTGAGATAGTTCACAAGCTTTGTATGTGTCATTAGTAGAAAACACAGCTACAGATACGTTTGAAGTGTCAGTTTTTCATAATATTTTGAACTAATTTGTTCAATCTGTAGTAAAAAATCCTGGACTTATAGACTTGTTCTTTACAGCAAGCTAAAGGTTCATACTTAGATGTTATATGAATGATGAAACAAAGGCATAAATATTTTATTATTGAGTGGAAACAAGTCTTTTCAAAAGCACATCTTTGCACACAAAGCATTTGTAAATCCCCATTAGTGGTATTTATGTTTCCACATAAAAATTCCTCGTTTGCAGCCAACAAAGTATCTTAGGCTTAGATCTTCCTGCTACATTTAATGCAATCACAATGCTGTCACAGACATCACAACCATTTTTGTAAAATATGATGTTAAGGAAAACTGAGTTCATTGTATTATACATATGTAAATGCCTCTCTTTCAGTAGTCTCAGAGGAAAGAAGATGCCAGAAAGAATTCTCAACCAGTGTACATATTAATTGTCACCACCTTTCATGGGATAGTAAAGTGCATTCATACAAAGAAAAGCATTAAGAACCAAGGAGGCTGCACAGGGAAAGTGAGGGCATTTGAGTGAGACCTGAGGAAGTCACACGGTAAATTATGATAATCTAATTGTAATCCAGAAAATCATTCTTCCCTTGTTTGTGCCTGTAATGAGGTAATGGTGCAGCTCCTTTGGCTTCAGACAGCCACTACAGATTTACAGCAGACTGTGGATGATCAGGCTGCAGCACAAGTTCTTTGTTATTGTTGTACCTCTTCAAGGATGTCTGAGTTCAGAATAGCTGTTGGTGTAATTTGCAGCAGTGAACATGTTGTTCCTCTGTAGCTCAAACTCCTTTCAGTTTCAGAGAACTGGTTATCACAGAGCATGGTTAATTGGTTGTTGATCCTGTATGATTGGCATCTGCCCAGAATTGAAACAATTCAAGCTATCCAAAAAATGAAATTTCCTGAATTAAAACAGGTTCTCAGCTACATACTAAAATAAAGGGATGCAATTCAGTATCTGATCATTCCTACATAAGCATGACTTGACAGAGATTCTGTCTTTAGTTCAACCACTTTTCTCTTAGGGATTTGACTTAGGTTCTGCCTTTTGCTGAGGTACAGCTGTTCATGAGAAATTGAAATGTTGCTTGCCTCTGTATTTCCCATTGTGTAGTCCTTTGTCGTTCTCTGCGGCTTCTCTCCTATGTTGAGGATGCTAAGTGAGTGGGTTTTACTTTAATGAACATATTGAAAGTGTGGTTAATGCTGCTAGACTCCATATTTAAAAACATTTTTTGAAATCAAAGTGAGCATCAGTAAAGTACTCTCTTGTGGTTGTGGCTCCAATGACCAGTACAATGACTAAATTGACATTCTTGTGCAGTGCTTGGATCCCTGCCAGTTAATGACCCATTACTGCAGTCTGCACAGGCAAATCACCCCTTTTGTCCCTCTCCTCAGGCTGATGGACTTCTGCCCAAGAAATGGCTGCATGCTCCTATTCTCAGTTGGTGTAGACCCCAGCATGACCATAAACAACCCTGGGAGGATTGTAATATGGTTTATTGGACAGATTCTGATATTCCTTGCAGTATTATACCGCCAAGACATTCTGCTGAAGTCAGTGACTTTGCCAATGGCATAGCTGAAAGAAGAAGCTGGTCCCTACGCTGTTGTTTTCTCAAGCAGTGAAGTGCTTGCAGGCTCTCAGTGAGTCTGTGTCTCTTTAGATGATGCAAGTTTTTGTGAGCCCTTTGTCGAACATTCAAAATAGTTTTTATTTTTGTTCTGCTTTTAAATCATTTTATTGTCTCTTCCCCCACAGGATTTTCCATTCTTCAGGCAATTATGGAAGCTGCAGTACAGAACAACTGGCAAGTGACAGCCAGATCTGTAGGAAGCATAAAAGATGTTCAAGAGTTCAGAAGAATTATAGAGGAGATGGACAGACGGCAAGAAAAAAGATACTTAATTGACTGTGAAGTAGACAGAATCAACACCATTTTGGAACAGGTATCTGCTTTTCAGAAATTGTGCTCTCTCTGTGACAGATATCATTAATATTTCCAGATGTGCTTATTTCTAGAGGTTAAGTATCCTTTGAGATGTCCCAACAACTGGCCAGTTACCTAGTAAAATTAAAATGTCATAGTGATGCTCGTATTTGGTGGCAGCACTTAGATGTAACCTACCAGGAAACGTCTCTGTGATATTTTTTTCCCAAATGTTAATAATGAATTATTTTTAAGTAGGTAAGGAACCTAAAACTTCAGCTGCCAGAGTAACATTAATGGAATCAAGGCTGCTTGTAAGGATTGCAAGACAGGTGCAGTTTTTTAAGTGGAACATGAAACAAGAAATAAAAAGCCAGTGAAGTATCACAGAATCACCTTAAAGAATTCCCAGAAGGAAACCCTGCTAATGAAAAATTCAACTGGTAGTCCAAACAATTTGTTAGTACATTTTGGTACATGAAGCCCTCCCCTCAGCACAGCCAGTGCTGTTGACAGGTTTAAATTGTGGGTGATGGGGTCTAGGCACCTTTGTTGAAGAAGATGCATTTGGAGTGACTGTTTTGTCTGGCTTTCCCAGTGTTTGCTTCACCCCAGAGGAATGGCCATACCCTGTGGCCATCCCAGGGTGCTACTCATTATGCCTGTGTCACTGGTTGTGCTGTGCAATGTGCTTCAAGAGGTGTAGTAACAGATACAAATTGTTGGAAGAAGACGCAGGGCAGTTCCCTGCTGCCTGGGATCACAGTAAAGCTGGTGCTGGTGTGGCACCAAATCCATGCTGCTTGGTTATTCACAGGTATGAGAGAATTCAGATGCATTAGGACAGAAGAACCTTCTGATTGCTGCCACTTTGTAAATTTAACTGTGGGTTCATAGTATGGAATAGATGAAGAGTAGCATTTAAATTTCATGAAGCATTAGCATATTTCTTAATTGTAAACTACCAACAAACTTACCTCACTGCCATAAACCCTGGGAAACATTAAAAACATATTCACTGTCTTCCTTCTCAAAATATTCAGTTCCTGTCAAACCTTGAGGTGTATCACTGAGGGTGAGTCTGTGGGGACAGCCAGGTGCCATAGCTGCTACTTACAGAGCAAGGAAAGAGGTGTTCAAGAGAACAGGGCACAAGCCCTAACTCTGACAACTGGTGTGGTTGTGATGCTAATGCACAGCATTGCATTTTACTATGTATTTTTAGGCAATATGGTGAGTGCTCTCTTTAGGGAAATTCATACTGAAAAGTGTAAGAAACTTCTTTTTTTTCTTTTTTTTTTCTTTCGTTTGCTCATGTTCTTGGAAAAGATGCAAAACACCATACCTACCCACAGCCCACTCTTCTGAAAATGCTGCAGGAGAGCACTCCTGAGCCAAGCTTAAAGAGCTCTTTGGGCCCACTCTCAGATGAGAAGCAGGCCTTTTGTTTGATCTGACTTCATTTACATTTGTTCTCATTTTTTCTTCTATTGTCCAAGAGAAAAAAAAGTCAAACTATTTCAGTGCCTAAAAGGGAAACTGAATACCAAGCAAACCATATAACAAAAAAACTCGCAACTCTTTTCTTCTGCTACTATTCTAAATTCAACCCTAGTGAAGTTTAAATTTTATTAAATGTACGATTCGGTCTTCTGTCAATGTGAATGGCATTGTTAAGTAAAAATTTCCTGCTGGGGCCTCCAGGTTTCCCCAAACCCTACAGTACATGCTGGTGCCCCTGACACTAAAAATATCTTCTGTCAACAATTTCCAGGGGTTTTTTAACTGGCTACTGAAAAGCAATGACTTAAATTTCAGCAGGGAAGGTCAGTAATGGTGAATGGACCCTAGGTTAATAGCTGAACAATCATTGTAGACTTTTCCTTCCATCTCCTCTGCTTACCCCGTTATCATCTCATAAAGTAGTTAAAAGTTTTCACAAACATGTGTCATATTTAAATCCATCCATCCAGTTTCCTTAAGGAAATGAAGAGCTGTCCTTTTTTTAGCCAAGTGTGTTCGCTGATAGCATATTATTGAGGGGAGAGATAAGTCTGAATTTGCATATTTCAAATCTAGCATTTTATTGCAGTTTAAAAAGTCAATTCAGTGCTATGTGTGGAGTCTAGGAAGGCTGCTCAGCTGAGAAGCAGTAACATCTGAGCCTGTTGCCACTTGCTGATGCACATTTGCAGATGGGTTTGTTTTTCCCAGTGAGAACAAAAGGAAGCCAAGACACTACCTGTCTGAGCTGCTGTGTCAGAGTACTGATGGACAAACTGTCCCACAGAGGGCTAGGATAGGCTGCCTCAATTCAGCTGCTTCTCCATCCCTCTCCCTTTTTTGGCCTTTTAGGAGTAGAACTGCAAAAGTCAACCCTCCCATCAGCTTCTGGGAGTGATGCTTCCCTCCAGAGAGGGGGTTTATATGGTTACTGTGTGGCACCTGCTTTTTCATTCTCTGAGTCAGCAGCAGTATTTGCCAGTGACCCTGGATTTCAGAGGCTTAAATAGAACTTATTCAAGAAGAAAAGTCATAGCAGAAATAAACAGACTGGAAACCACTAAACAGTCTACACACGCACTGAGCTTGCTATCAGACTTTTGGGCTCTTGGCCAGTGCATTCAGCAAGCTTGTCAGTGCTCTGCTCCAGGATCCATGTATCATGGCTTTGTGTTAGTGCTTGAATTCAGTAAGAGTGACCTCTTTTCCTGTATCGGGCTGGTCACTGTGTGCACTTCTCATCCTTTGATCCTTTTTTCAACCAGTTCAGACCAGGATATACATCTCTTCCAAAACTACAGTCTCATCCAAAGGCAATTACACATCTGGGGATTTTCTTTTGAGACTTCAGGTCATTCTGGAATATTATGTACCTTCTTCCAGCAATATACAGACATGTGAATCAGTGACCTTGAGTATTCTGTATGCATATGGCACATGCGTATGTCTCTACATTTCCAAGACCTGTCATAGGAAGTATTTCTCTTCTCAGGGCAGTCTGATACCTGATTTTCCTGGCTATAAATTCAAGGCTGGGGAAAGAGGGCATTTCAGCTCCTACTCTGCCTGAGTATCCTGTTTTGTGCCAAATTTCATACTGCTGGTTAATCTGTTTTCATTCCCCATTCAGAAGATTTTGTGATGGGCCTTATATTTTGTCCTGGAGGTGAATACCCTGCCCAAACCTCTTCAGCTGTAGAATAGAGGGAAGCAGAGAAATCACTAGTTATTCCATAAGTTGCCATCTGTTTGTTCACTTGCCCTATAGTTCTATAACCACTGAGCATGTGGATCTATATCAAATTCAGTCATCTACTGGCCTCTCAGGCATGCAGATAGCAACACTTATATCATGCAAAATTCATAAGCTCCCTACACTTCTTGTCCCTTGATGCTAAAATATTCTGTATTTCTTCACAGATAGATATAAAATTTTGTTCCCATAAACAGAAGAACATTTTCTTCTGAGAGCTAACAGTAAGCCTTAGCCTGTTCGACCATGTATTTAGAGACATGTTTTTGAGTTAAGAAATACGTTTTTCTTATTCCCAGGAAAATAAGCTGTATCTCAGACTAGAGTGGCTTTGTGTCCACTTAGAAGAAAACCTTTTGAGGGCAAATGAGCAGGAAGAAACTCCATTCAGGGTCAAAATGGTGAAACTTTACAAAAGACCTGTTTATTTCAGAGACTGCATGCTTTTATCAAAAGGACACTGTCTCCAAACTTAGTCATGAAGGTTAGGCTTCAAGGCAGTGTCTGTATTAAGTAAAGTCATCTCACAAAGCAAAAGTAATACTACAGTAGAGAATGCAGTCCTCAAAGTTTTACAATGACAGTGAAAGACAAAGTGAAGCATCTCTAGGATTAAGGAAGGTAATCTGATTGGCTGAACTCTGTCCTGTGCACAGACTGGCTGTGACAACCTTCGAGTCTGAAATTCTGAGATTAGGATGGAGGTGTGCAGGTTTTTCTGTACAGCCCCAGCTGCATCTCCCTGCAGAGCTGCTCTGATCTCACTGCACAACAGCTTTCACATTTAGAGTGTCATAAGAATAACCAAACTGCAGTATTGGGTTGAGGAACTGTCATTAAAAATAGCAATAGGGCAAAATGTAACTGAAGAAATTCAAGACCACTCTCATGTAAACTTCCTGGTATGTGTGGTCCATTATAAACAGATGGTCTGGTGGGGATTTGCCTGTGTTCTCCATAGAAATTTAAAATACAATTGCCTACGAATACAGAGGAACACTTGAAGCAGAGCTATGAGTAGCTTCAGCTTCTGCTTTTCTTTTGAAGCCCAGGAGTGCCGTGTCCTCTGAAGGTACTGCACTGCTCAGAGCAGGCCTTCAAGAGCAGTGTGCCTGTCACCTACTCCAGGGCACAGGGCCACAGCTGTGTCACAGGCTGATTTAATCCTTTGTCTGCAGCTGTGTGGAGCAGTGGGGTTCAGCTGAGGCTCCTAGAGAGTATCTGCTTTGTAGAGTGTTGTGTAACTTCACTCTGAAACTGGTACAGTTCATTTTTACATTTCCAATGAACTAGAAACTTAAAATTTAGGACGTTTTTTCATTGGATACCCATGAGTATTGTTGAAATCAGGATGTAAAGCAGAATAAAAGGTCATTTCTTTCCCTTCACAACCAGGGAGTTTCAGCAGCTCCCAAGTCCATATGGGCATATGGGGAGGAAAGGGGAATTACTTAGGTCAGGCACCCTCAGTACATAGCCAGCAGAAGAGTAAGAATGGGCATAAGTCAGAAGTGACAGCTGTATCTGCCTTAAAGGGCCTGCTCCTGTCAGCTGTGAAACTCATAAAGGGCAGGAGATAAATTGCTAAAGCAGAGAGAGTAACATATGTTACCCCACACACCACACATTTCACACATACCTGAGGAAAGAATTTCTATGTTGTAAAAAGGAACGTCTCTCCAAAGCCATCATCCAGATTTCATAAAACAAGCCAGGTTCTAAATGACAGGAATTTATCAGAACATTATTAGTCATCCTGCAGA